ATGTACAAATAATAGAAACAAGAAAATATACACAAACTCTAACACTAATTAGACTTATTTTGCCAGCTCAAAGGATCCAGTAAGGGTGTGTGTACAAAGAAAGTCATACCCATATCAAAACTAATACACCATCTTTACTCACATCCTCAAGGTTTCTATTACATTACCAATGTAGTTTTGAATCTCTTTGCATCGATTGAATGTCATCTTTCTATATGATTGTCACGAAAAAAATCATTTCATTTCGTGGAAATCACGTATATTTTCGAATAACATATAGTGAGTGAAAGTTTGAATCGAAGTTTTTACGGCTCTTCCCATTCAGGCCCTAGAAACTGAGAGAGAGGGGAGGGAAGGAAAAACAGGGTGTGGAGTGTGGCTACCGCCGTATGATATCGAGTGTGGTTGCCTCTTTCGCCACGTTCGTACCTAGACTGACACATCTCACAGCCCCATATTCACCCCGGCATCCACAAGTCACAGCTGCACACTCACACCCTCCTTATTTTTCCTCGTTACGATTTCTTTCTAACCACATAATTTTTTCTAGATTTTGAAACAACGCTCTATCTTTTAGTCGAACTCGCTCTCAAAAAAACATTCAGTCGTATTTAAAATTTGGAAATGTTGTTGCTAAACTAGTCAATTAACCCAAGTTTGGACGCCGTTTTTTATCGATGAATAAATCACTAGGATCAATTGAAATATAAATTATTTTCTCTAATTCTCAATCAGTACGTTTAAACGCAATTTTCCGTTTAGTTGATAGAACTTTTGAGTCAAACAGCAATGTTCAATGCCAAAATAAAAGACTAAATTTAGAATTATGGTCACACGTGAAATATAACACACTCAAATGTACAAGTGTATGATGTGACAAACTTTCAACACATCAATCGTAATGAAAAAATGTATTCAATCACGTAAATCTGTATTTAGGACTACCAGCATTGTACACTGAAATGATTCCGCATCTCGATCATTTTTATATCAGAATTATTTTTATCGCAATATTGTATTTCATGATAAAACAGAGGTTCATCGAATACCAATTAAAGTTATGACTTATTAAATCAATCTACATCGTGCATAAAGAACATATGTATTTGTCAAATGTATCAATGGGTCTCATACCAATCTTTATGCGTGCTTGAATAACAATAAACATTAATACTGCGTAAAATTTCTAGTTTTTAGAAATGGTGTGATTCAATAATAATTGAATTCTTAAATGAGCCTTTCCAACTCGTGTATAGATTCTACATTGATCACTATATGCATAAACGAAGATTGTAGTGATGAGAGTTGAAGCAAGAAGAAAAAAAGAAAGCAATAGACGAATGAAAGTCAAACTATATTGAAGAATTGAAAGGTTAAAATGTTCTGATAAAAATTCCATAGCGTAAGGAGTATATTTTTATGCTGCCTTAAATATTCTCAACTCGTGACCTACATTTACCAATTCTGTGCAACAATCCATTTGATTGGCAGAATTTCCCTTCGCATTTTACAATTCGAAGGTAAGCATTACCAAAGTCACACTAGTAAAATGTCACAACGGTTTCAGCGTCTTTTTTCTACATAATGAAGACTGATAAAAATATCTATTTGTTAAATTATCTGTTGCAGCTTTTTTAATACAGTTTGCGAAACTCTATCTTGAGAATTCATAAAAATTAACCGGATGTTAAAACACACTGTACATTTTGTATATCAATGCAGAGCAGAAATAAAGTGCAAATGTGTCTAAATATTTCGTAAGAATAAGAGTAAAAAAACTAAATTTAGGATTTAAAAATGATTCAAACATTCTATTTCGTGCCTCTGTTGTATTATTTTACGCTTTATTTAGTGTTTTGTGCGATAATTTCTTTAATTTTTCTCAAGTTCTAGTGTGATTACTCGCAAATATATTTATTAGTAAATTATTCTGCTGGTTTGATTTACAAAACAGTTGATTACTGACAATATTGACTATTAATGTATATCCTCTCGAATCCTATTTCTGTTATTTTTTTTAGAGAAGACAGTGACGTTCAATTTTGTTTCATATCAAAGTATATTAGTTTTAGCTCATTTTCACATGTCATAAAGCGAAATCGTAAAGTTCACGTTTATAAAACAAAATCTCGAATACACGTAGAGTTTTGTGTTTATAAAAATAAAGACACGAGAAATACGAATAAAGCACGAAATCAATCTACAATCAATATTACAAGTGGTAAATGCTACGAACTGAAATTCATATAATGTAATTATTGATTTTGTCGAATTGTTCAGAAACGACTCGTTGAAGAAAGTTTTCTCAAAATCATGAAAAGTTTACAAATTTATACTATAAATTCATTAGTTTCTTACTTCAGATGTACTGCATAAAGTTAGAAAAGCAGCTCATATTTCGAATGTTCCATCGGGGTATTAACTTTATTTGTTAGACTTCTGAAAAAAGTCCTTTTTCTAGTTTACGTGAAGTAATACTTCTATAAAATATTGGTGTGCGATGTTGTTGAATCTCTCAACAATTCTTGTTTTCTCTGCTCGACTGCAACTCAAATTATTCAACAATATTTACGAGTTATCCTAAATTTTTTGTGTTTTGCTAACTTCCCGGCAAGAAAACTTAAACAGCCGACTATGTTGCCACTGATTCATGTACAAGAATTCATTCTGCTATTGCATGGGAAAAAAACAACTTTTTAAACTTAAAACAAAAAATATGTTACCGAGATTTATGTTGAATGGATTCGTTTAATTGATTGCCAAATGCCTACAAAAAATTATTATTCGATGCTGATGTTGCAAAATAAAGATGATTAACTATTTTTGCAATTACTGTGTGACCATTTTACATTCACTCTAGAGTAATGAAACAGATATTGAGAAAAGAAATTGAATAAGGCTTATGTTGCTATAGATATGTTAATCATTGCTAACATAAATTGAAATGTAAGATGATTTTGGTTGATCCCTCAAGTTATACAATAAAAGGCAAATATCATCGATAAAAGTCAAGTTTGAACGTAAAAGAATCACCAATCGAGACAGTTTTGAAAGTTCGTTCAGCATGGTTTTTCAGAGTGCTCATTTTTCGATTAGATAGCTCTGTAAAATATCAAAACATGTTTTTGAATTGTATCTTCAAGGAAGAACCATATAATCAATTAGTTCCATAGTTCACGGCGGATAAGAACAGTCAGGTTCAAATATAAATCAAGATGTGCGCATTCATTACGATAAACAATGGTTCAATGAAAAATAAAGATTTCTAATTATGTTCATTGTAACTATTTTAGACAAGAGTGGGAAGTGTTTCTTCAGGACCTAGCGCATCGTACGTTCCTCTTTCATCTGATTACAGCATAAATGCGTCGGATATTCTTAGCTATGACATGACTCATTTTATCATTAAAGTTTAAATAAGATTTTTAATTCCAGGAATAGAGGATGCTAGTGGATGTTGGTGGGTATGAATGTGTGTTGATGGGGGGCGCTGCAAAGCTAAGTTATGGATGGGTGGTATCAACACGGTTTTTCTCTTGAAGAAAGAACTCAGAAGGGCGTACTTGAGAACGAGAGATCGTCGGAGATCAATACGGAGAAAAAAAGATAGAAAACAGTTGGAATATGCATATGTGTCATGGTGCCATATAGATAAAATGAAAGGGAAAAAGAAGAGAAAGATATATACAAGTATAACACTACCTAACAACTTTTTCGCAGGAGACTTTCAATAGTCTAATACGAGAACTTCGCTTCTAAATTAGATGAAAGAATATATATATTCAATATGACTTAGAAATCATTTGATTCCAATAAAGGTTTTGTTATCAGTTTTTAGAATGAAACGGGCAAGCTTATTAAGGAATGATCACATGCTTGTATCTGATGTTCGACAGTAAATGCCAAAGTACATCTTATCTTATTCTTTTCAGAGAGAGAAAATGGTACTTTCCAGTTTTACTAGATTGTATAGCACCAGATTAGGATGAGAGGTTCACAATCAAACAGGAAAAGCACTCATTTTTCTCGTTAGAAAATATAACTTACGATGTACTTTTCTATTCATTGTGGAACACCTGCTATATGACTAGTCTTGAATAAAGATTGGAATATTCTCATAATCTACAAGTCTCTCATACTACTGATCTTCATCAATTATGTACTCTTCTCGAAATTTGACATTGAAACCTATCCAGGTGTTTACGAACGATTTTTTTAGAAAAAGAACACATAGAAAAATCCGTTCGGGTGTTGAACCTTTGTTTGTGAGGTTCATTAGTCAAAGTTATTTTCGCTTTAGCTATATCAACTGCTGCACCGGCTCCTACAAATCTAATTGTTTATCGAAACTATGTTGATCAAACATTCTTCTTCGTTGTCACAGGCAGTACTTGTGGTCCACTTTGGGACACCACTATCTATACAGACGACTCAACTTTTGTCACAGCAGCTGTGCACTCAGATTTTGCACAAAACAGTGCAAAAATGACTACAACTGTCATAATTCTTTCCGGACAAAGCAGTTATACGGGTTCGACGCAGAATGACATCACCTCCTATTCTTACGGTTCTTGGTACGGAAGCTACAGTATAACGAATGCTACACCATGACTCAATTTATTTATAGATTTTCAAATCATTGAAAGCTTTATCTTGTTTAGCTTTGTCGCAAATGTGAAAGTATTCGATTTTATTTCTATGTATGTTGAGTGTTCGAAATGATCATCGAGAAAAAAATACTTGAATAACAATTGAACAAATCAAGTGATATGGCAGAATTCTATATAATTTCAATCAATGCTTCTATAGACTTCATATGACAAATATTGTTGAGCGTGGCCAGTCATCAGTTATCCTTGCATGAAGAAGACTCGAATTGTCATGGTGCGGATGAGTGAGTGTGCCGTGTGGCTCTTTTGATAACCCACATCCCACAACGATGAACATTTGTTGGTTTTTCTCTCTGAATTTTAGCACTATTGATAGAAAAAAAACCAAAGTCAGTCAAACTGAATGGTGACGCCAACATGTTTGGGCATCATAGTTGTCCTTGCTAAATATCCACCTGCATTGATTTGAGAACCACCATCACCAAATGTTACATATTGCATTAGTCTCGCTGCGATTACTTTCAGTTCGAATCGAGCCAAATCTTGGCCAACACACTGACGATGGCCACCGCCAAATGGTATGAATGCATATGGACGATGGTTCTTGTCCTCATCCAAAAACCTTTCAGGATAGAAACGCTTTGGATCAATTGACCATAGTTGAGTATCTTGCGCAAGCACATAAAATGGAATGAATACTTGATCACCTTTGTAGAGATGAGCGCCACTTTCAGGAAGACTATCGTCAGCAGTTAATGTACGAGCTGCTCCATCGACTGGAGGAGATAAACGAAGTACTTCTTTGATAACACAATCCAAGTACACCAATGAATCAAGTCGTTCGAGTGAAAGCTCTTGCCTGTTGCCATAATCATTCATCAACTCTGCCTTGATCTTCTGCTGCACTCGTGGATTTTTGCTCATGAAATGAATAAACCATGCTAAAGCAGTTGAAGTTGTTTCAAAGCCAGCAACCAGAAATAGAAGCATCTCATCCAACACTTCCTTTTTAGACAAACCTGCAATATTCATACATTAAGAACTAACAAAGAGATGTGTTTCGAATTTTTGAATATTTTTCGGTCATTGTTATGCAGATGAATTGTGAACCAATCGAATTCTTTCACATTGTTTATCTTACCTTTTCTCTCTTCTTCACTTTTCTTCGCTTCCATTGGTTCGTCTTTTTGTAGTGAAGCAACCAGTGAAGCAATCAAACATGTCCTCCTTCGTTGTGCTGTTGTCTCAGTACTTTCACTCAATTCCTGTTCAATCATTCGATACAAATATCTTTCGATGATCCGTTTTGCCCGTCGATATCGAGGATTCATTTTCAAGTAGACGTGAGCGAGGAAAGGTGGCGAATAGGCTAGCAAATTAAACACTTCTAAAAATTCATGTAGTGCTTGAGTGAGTTCATTGTCCGTAGTATGGTCTTCATTGAGTGTCCCGAGATCATAATCAAAGGCAATAAATCCAAAGATAGCAAGCAGAATATTTTTACATTGTTCTACAATGTCACAATGAATGTGTCGAGTGGAATCGACACATCGCCATCGAGTCAATAGCTTATCCACATTATCGATAATCAAATCTAAATTGGAGACGATCTTACCACGGCGAAATAAGGAAAGAATGATTGAGGCATGTCGCTTGTACTTAGCACCTAACAAGAACAAAAGCATATTTCGTCAATTAGATAAAGAGGCAAACGGACCCTTGTTACAAATAAGTCCGTCGGGAAAAAGAACACCGAATGTTTGAATAGTTAAATCGCCTTGATCATAGATATGACGATGAGTGAATATGTGTTGTACATCATTAATATTACTTACGACGATTACACGCGTAGGACCAGCCCAAAATTGAAAAATATCACCATAACGAGCTTTGAATGCTAGCAAAGCATCAGGACGGGATACATTACCCAGCAGTATACCTGATTGAATCAAATTACCAAAGAGAAAGTGAGGTGGTAAACCAGGTAAAGGACCACGAAAAGTGTAATATTTGAGTTTTATATAATACAAGAGTAAGGTAACAACGAGGATCACAACGAAAAGCATAGTATGGATGCAATGAAGAAAGTATCGTCGAAACAAAAGTAATTCTTGTCAGGTAGATAAACCTGCACACGTGTTGCTCGGTTTTATCTTTTCTCTTATCTATTCATCGACCTCGTAATAACCGTAATAAATGCACATGTAATCGCGAAATACATTTTGTGAGGCCAATGCATAGATAAAAGAAAAAATAAAAGATGAAACACGTGTGATAATGAGCCCGAGTTGTCTCGATCTGTTAGAAGTTCTCTCTATCACACTATAACGACGTGTGTTGAATGATCAGGGCTTTCTTGAGAAAAAAAAGCAAAAATCGAGGATGGGTGAGAACTCTGACAACTGAAGAGAATGAACGTGAAGAAGAGCAACAACAACAAACTCTAGCGTCAGCATCATAAACGTTTGCGAGTTTATCCGTTTTGACCCAATCCGTAACCCGCGTCCGGGTTAGACCTATGAATGTGGGGTGTGAGTGAATGAAAGATCAACAACGTTAATACGGCAGAGTCTTCTATTATGAAAGAAGAGAGTTAAGTTTATTTTCGTTTTACAGTTCAATACGAGATGTTTGGTTTATTTGCTATTGTTCTTGACGAAACGTTTTTTTCCCCTTTTCATTCGAGCTGAAGACTCATTTGAATTCCATTGACTGTGAAGTGTTACAATTGAGATCTCTATTTTTCCATTTTGACGTTCAGTCATGAGTAAGTAGTGATGAATGATTTTCTATTACCTAACTTATCATTGATACACATTGATATAATTACCATAGTTTTTGATTTCATCTCAGGCACTTTAATCGACTAAAATGAAACAATAAGCATTAGATGTTGTTTCTTATCAGTTGAAAGGTTTGTCTTGAATTCAATCAAACTATTTTCAAGAAGAGAAAGCAAGTTAAACAAACATAGCTGAATAAGCTGAACCGATAACAACAAAAAACATTTTGATTTTAGTATATGTCTACTTCCTCGAGTTATGCAATGAAAGCTAACATTCGATATAAAAAAACCTAGTCAAAAGTTCATTATTAACTACTGAAGTTTGCTTGAATTGGTTGATGATATAATAATGAAGGAACTCTTAGTCTATGTAAAAGAAAAGTAAATGGCATGATTTCGAAACAACAATTCGTGTGTACTAGATCCACTTGCTGCATGTGCATTCAAACGTTAGCAGAAATCGTAATTAAAAGTAATAATCAAAATCGTTTTGCAAACTTCGATATTGTTTTCAATCGATGAACACTGTACATTGACATAAGATTATTTGTATTGATATTAAATCTTATTATGCGATATTTACTTTGAATAATTCGGTTGCATTTTGATTGAATATTATCAATTGAACAAACAAGCAGCATCTTGTTTTCTTTTCATGAATTATACCAATTCTCTTGTTCAATATACAAGGTCCTCATTCGAGCTCTCAATATTTTTGTTTCTATATTCCGATGAATTGATCGAAGATTTTCTTGAAAAGAATTTCGAACAGATAGATCACTTTTGATAAAAAGCCCAGAAATATGTCGTTTTCAATAAACGTTTTCAAACATTCGTTTATATCAATTTATTCATGAGAAACTATCCCCAATATATTTGTTCGATCAAACAAGTTTGCATGGTCAAATTTCATGCATAGAAATTTATTTTGAATCAAAATCGATATTATCGATAATTTGAATGATCAATACAATCAGAATAACCCGAGTGTAATACAAAATAAGACAAATCCGATCTACTTTGTCTAAAAGAAACATTATGGAAAGATTCTTTATTAAAATGTTTTGTCGAATGAAATCATTTCATACTTTTCATATGTTTGCTAATGATCAATTGATGTCAAATACGAAATTTCGAATTTAAATTCTGAGATCACAAAACGTTTGATGATCAGCAATTCAATCAAATCAATATGTCATGGCAATTTGATTTAGAAAAAAAAGCGTATACTACGTGAAAATACCAAAAACTCAGATTTGAACTTCGGCCTTCATATGACAATCAATGGGCTCAATAATGACTTTTTGACAAAAATATTTCTTCGAAAAACAAAATTCAACTAAATGGTAGAGATCGGTCGGTGGGTGTGTGCATTGATGTTACATCCAAATCCCCTCATCCTGAATGACCTATCAAGTTCTGTTTTCTATTCTTAGTGTAACTTTAAATTTCGACGATCAGACATCCTTGCTTTTATTTATTAATTAATTAGTCACGAAAGAAGTATGTTTTATTGAACGTTAGTAACCAAAAAATGATCTAGATCTTTGATTTCAACCATAACGATTTTTTTTCAGAATCGTTAAAATCGGATTGACAACTGGAGTTATAACATTCCTGCTGATTGCTATCGATCACACGTGGGTTTTGCCATGTTGTCATCTTGTTGACTGAAAAAGAAAAAGAAGATGTTTTCGATGCAATAGAAACAAAACAATCGCAAGAACTTTATCCTACTATGATCAATGTAATAGTAGCGACCGTCGGGTAGTGTGCGCACGTCCCAATTGTCCTACAAACAGCCAAGAAATTTAGTAATTTTCCTCTTCCTTGAAAAGCTCGTTCTATTACTGGTAGCGGTCCATTTTTTACAATTTCTGAATGACAAATTGATTGTGGACTCGGTTCGTCAGTTCATGGATCAATCTTTGTATGCATACATGGAAGTGAAAATATAGAATTCAAAAGAATAATTTTCAATCGAACATACCCAAGTAGTTTGTTTATTTTTATGATCGATGAAAAATTTGCGTTCACATGAAGCATACGCCATTTCCCAGTCAGGTGGCAATGAGCCAAGTTCGTCGCTCGTTGCGCTTATATACTGTTGATATTTATCGCCGACTCGTAGCCGTTGAGCTGTATTCACACTATGAATCGATTATTATCAATTGTGTGTATCAAATGAGCGACACAGAATTTACATACTTTTGAGAATTGGGATGGTTCCATGTTGTGATGCGACAATTATGATCCACGTAATAGCTACAACCGATAGAATCCGTTCGTACTATAAATATTGCAGAGAAACTTAAAGAAAGTTTTATGCGCATACATAATCTTACTTTCCCAGCCTGGTGGCATAGATACTATAGCTACCAGATCGTTTACTTCACAATGCTGGATGATATCGAAGGTACCCTAAAAAAGGATCGAATGTGATCTTACCAAGTTTGAACAGAAAAATGACTAAACGTCATTGTACTGCAGAACTTCAGTATTAGATGAGAACTAAATCAATGCTAAGGATGAATGGATATACATTATTTCGATAGTTGCACATCGAGAAACTTGTTTAGGAAGTCGTGATACTCTTTGTACGAAAATTCTCTATTCAATCACCTTGACAACAATAAATTTTACTCGTCAAATAGAGTAAACTGCATCCTGTCGTATGACTCATGAACATTTGATAAAATCTAATTTTTAAAATAAAATATCCTATTTTTCCTATTTTCATAATCAGTTTCAATTGTACAATTTCATCGTAATTGTATGAGATATTCTTTGACTAGGTGACGATCACATTAGACAATTCAAATTCGTTATTAAAATAGCCAAAAAAGAATCAATTTCATAATGCATTCGATTTATCAATTGTTTTGTGAAACATACTAAGGATTATAGATATAACTCTAATGTATGAATAAAATAAACTGTTCTATGAAGCTTTAAACGAATAATCTTTTAGCGAAAATGAAAAAACTATGATTTATTCTTCTTAGAAAAAGGCATTTCAAAAACATACTGAGAATCATTCCTTCCTCATCGTTTATCAGGTTGTTGATTTCTCGATTATTTCGATAAAAACAAGAACTAAGACGATTTTATTTTCTTTGATAAGTATCGATAGATAAGTAAATAAAAAAAAAGAATCTACGAAGACCAATTTGAAGTTTTGTAATTATAAAAATTAATACTTCGTATTGTACGCCAATCATACATGTAAGTCACTCATTACCAGCCTGAAATTGACGAAAATAGTCACAGAGATCAACTCTTAACTTTATTCGCAATAGGATGCGAGACAGATTTCTGCTTTTTTTTCCAGCAAAGTACTACAATTTACGACTGATATGCTGGTGTATCTTAGTTGTCATTCGTATTATATAAAATTGAAATATTACTTCTAACTCACCATGCTGTTGCTGTCAAATTGAAGAAAAAAAAAATTATTGTTTGTTTAGGTCAAACAGATATACAAGATTGTGAATGAAAATGGACTGATTTAGTTGTGCCAATAATGAGGGCACACTCTATGTTCATCTTCTATTGGTTCAATAATGTGAGAGCGTTCGGTCACTATGCGGTTAGACTCTATGACCTTATGAACGATAATGGATGTCAGCTCACTTTTTCCTCGCACATCAGCGTATGTTTCTATGTGAAGCAGACACGACTAGAGTGATGGAATAGTGTAGTGAAAATCTACATCGAGAATAGCAGTAACGATACTTCTTCAGTTAGTCATTATTGGTCACAATAAAATAACGCATTGCAATAGTAATGAAAAAGAGCACAGTAGTTCATTTCTCTTACTTTCATTACATTTGTCAATTATACAAATAATGAGAACTTTCAAGCAAACATTCTATTCGAAGAAAAGACTCACAACAGTCTCACCAGGAAACATATCCAAGTGTTGGACACTATTCGACGTCATCTTTTGGCTCTGAGTAGGGCACAGTTAGACTAGGAATATCCTATAAGAGTTCATACGCATGACGTACTTGGAAGAAGATCTTATTGCCACATATGTGTAGATATTGATAAAAAAATAGATCATTTGAACTCTCGTTTTTTTTTGAATGATTATGAGCCAACCTCATAATACCAAATTCAAATTCTATATTTACAACATCTGTTCTCACCTTCTCAAAGCAAAGAAAAAAAATTAAGAGAAGCCAAAATAAAACTTTATTTTCTTATGCCTATTAGTCAATGAGATTTACTTCCAGGTAAGCAATGAGCATGAACAAGGTTTACTATGATAGACGACAGGTCTTGAAGGAACAATGTGGCGGATCTAATCGAAGGTATTTTAAATTAATTAGTTTTTCGAAGAACTGGTCGTCTAGTTAGCGTATTTATGTCAATATATGCCTAATTTTCAGGGTTTTCAACTGAAAATCTTAAAAGTCTAAAGTCAATATTATTTTCTGGACTTTTAAAACCCTATAAATATCTTCTGAAATTCTTGAAATCATTTTTGTTTTTTGAAAAGCTTTTTTAATTAAAAATTGTGAAAATAAATGGAACACATTAGAAGATTTGAGGTCTTCTGTTGGGGATGGATTGAGAAGATTTCATTGAGAATATGGTCGGATAAGGGTGTGGGATGTATGTTTTCTATTCTCTCACTACTCCCACACTGTGTCACTAAACAGGACTTCTAAAATCAATGAGTTTGAAGTTTTTCTTTACTTTTCATTTCAAGGCAATACAACAATTGGTTGTTACGAAAATTAGTCGCAATGTAGAATTGGTCGAATGTTTAAGAGAAGCGTAGTTCTTCTTTATTTTCATAAAAACTTCATAAACCTCCACACATATGATTCAATTACACAGCACAGCGTAAGAGTGAGAGTGGCACGTGAGCAATAAGAATCTATCATATGGGGTGGACTGATATAACCGTATCTTGACATTCACTTTTTGAATTTATGGAAATGTTACGAAAACATGAAAACTATATTCATTGTAAAATAGGAAAGATCGCAGCATAGAGAGACATAAAAATAAGGAAAAATTGTATGAATGATGGAAAATTTTCGAATGATCTCCTGTTCGATCTAGTGTACTGCTTTATACACAAATAAAAAAATTTTACTAAACATTCATATTTGTACTCATCTTTGATATTGTGTTCCTTAAATAGATTATTAGGTTGTGTCTGAACCTATCTGGGTTCGTAGCGACTAATTGACGTCGCCTAATTGTTGTTCGATCAATTGTTGTAGATCCGTTTTTCTTTTATTAATCCTAGTCCAGATAGAGCACGAGAAACAAAATAAAAAAACTAAGCACGTCAAACAAATCAGACGGACGGATACTATTGTGTACACGAATATTTAATGAACTAAATATGTGACTGTCAAGATAAACATGAACAGAACGATGGTGAATACGCTTGAATGGTTACCTGTTGATGTTATTTTTGAAATATTTTCGTATTTATCTTCTGTTGAAATCCTTCAATCATTTTTATCATTGAATAATTATTTTTCAAGAATAATTATGCATGATTATTTATGGCATATTCATATTGGTGATAATAAGATGTCGTTATCAACGTTTAAGGATTTATGTCAACATGTGTTAAAACTAATAGGACATAGAGTCATTTCACTACGTATTACATTAACTAATATTATTGGTGGATGGTCACTTGTTTCATCATCTCTAAAATATAATAAAATGATATCACTTCGACGTCTTCATCTGATTGATATTAAACCACATGAATTTGATAAGATATTGAATAATCGTTTAATAAAACAAATACATACTTTATTGGTCGATGCATCAGAACGTAGTCCTTTGACGAATCAAGTAGTAGAAGGAGCATATCTTGCTAAGGTAAGGAAACAAATTTTATTCTGAATTTATTATTAAACTTGTAGACATTGTTTGATCTTAATAAAAGGTGTGTTCATGCCTTCCTGACTTAACAATATGTCGACTTCCATTTGATTTTTGTCCTAGAATTCGCAAAAAATCACCAAAATCTTCATCTCCACCTTTGATGACTTTACCAAAATTATCAAATACAAATCATCTTCATTCGTTGGTCATGGGCATAAATACATCAACCTTTCTACAACATTTATTAAAATGTATACCATCTATTAAAAATCTTTCTGTTGGTATACAAGATGAAGAAATAAACCATGACAATAATTTTGATATTCACACGTAATTATAATATATACTATGATCTATGCAAATATTAATAAAATAAATTTTTTTAGATTACCTACTCCTGTTGATGCTCATCTTCTACGTCAACTATCTCGTCTTACTTTGAACTGTATCGATGAGATAAGTTTTCATAGAACCATTGAGCTTTTTTCATCTGTCTTTGGTCAACTCATACATCTATCATTAAAATTAATAGCTTATTCCTCAGTATTTGATCCATTGATTATATCAGGTGACACAATTCAAAAATTATGTATTGATCGTCTTAATTCATTAGCAACTTTTGCTCTTAATTTAACATTTAGTATCAGCAATGACATGAATAATAAAGTAATTTATAATTCATTTGTTAATGCTCCATTTACTAATCTACAACAGCCAAAAGTATTTATCCGAAATGACTTTTTTATAAGTAATGGTTATGATAAGTATTGTTTTGTCGTGTACACATTACCCTATACTGATACTAAATTCGGAAAGTCAATTATTTATGAATATCTTCAAACGTATGTTTTATAGAAATTATTTATTTCATAGAAGAATCTACAAAGATATTTTCTTTTTTTTTTTGTTTATTTATCAGATCATGTCCATTGCATGTAACAAATGTAGATTTGTTACTACGCCCAAATGAATTATATATTAGCAATAATCAGTATGATGAATGCCTTACAGAACTCGGTAATTGTGGAAGTTCTTTATCATCACTAGTTCCATGGTCATTAATTAAAAAAATTACTATCCATGGTAGCTATTCTGTTAGTGCTGCTCAACTAGAAGCCATATTACGAATAGCTTACAATGTAGATACATTAGAATTGTATGATGATATGGGTCATCTAACTCAGTTGATATTTCGTAATACCGATCAAGTTGGAATTCGTGTTAATCAACAAGTAAGTAGTTCTCTTTGCACTGATAATTAACTTTTTTTTTCTAAAAATATTATCCTTTTTATTAGATTCGATCACTTCATACGATTGATGATACATTAACAATGTTTAATGTTCAACATTTTTGTAAATTACTCTGCAGTCAATTATCTAATCTAAAAAAACTTTCCTTTTCTATCGCTCATTCAGATGATAATGGCACTTGGATACAATCACGTATTGTTAACGGTGAAAATGAATCTACAATACGTCTTGTTCATGTTATGCATTTTCTGGTTAATCATTTGCCACAACTTGCTTCACTTCATATGTTTATTCGCTACTCTATTTCATCTGAAACACCCTTTTTTCCACATTTAATTCGACAACAATTGCATGAATGGCCATTTAGTCGACCATATCGACTACAATGTTCTTCCACAAATATTCAAATCTGGCTTTAATATTACTTTAACTATGTTAGAATATTTTCCTATTGTAAATTTTTTCTATGTAGTTACATGGAATAAAATGACTAAAATTGAAAAAAAGCTTAATTGCAATGACTTTCTATTAAAACTTTTACAATAGTCTAATGGTTTTTTTAAGAGAAATATATACGTCAGAGCTGGGCAAGTACAGACTTTCTCGAGTACGAGTACGAGTACGAGTACTAACCCCCCGAGTACGAGTACAAGTACGAGTACTGACCCCCCGAGTACGAGTACAAGTACGAGTACTGACCCCCCGAGTACGAGTACGAGTACTGACCCCCCCGAGTACGAGTACGAGTACGA